CAGGTGACGACCCTCCCGCTTTAAATTTTGCATATAACTGAATAATTCAGCAATTCATTCAATTTAAATTCTTGTTATATATGTGAAGGCTCATCCTGTGGCAATATTTACATTTGTCATAGTATACCGGTGGACTAAATATGATAAAAATGCACTTGTTATAATGATACACAGTCTTACTGATTGTTGTTTACTTTTAGACAAGTTTTGTTACCTTGCAAAGAAACTTGTAAAACTGGACATTTCTAATTTCGCGTAATCAGAAATAATGTTAATGAAAATACAATAAAAGTTTCAACAATCGTGATAAAATAAGATAACTGAAAAGATAATAGAAATTATTTTGTTTAAATCATCATGTAACAAGTTTCAGGTCCTGAGATAATACAACTTTAATATTGTGGTGTTTTGATTCGAGATAAAAATTGAAATTGTACTTTGATATCAAACTTTGTGAGTGAAAATTTGCTGAGTTAATTACGTTAAATAGTATGTTTCTATAATATACAGTTGATCAAATGTATTGTATTGTATATTTTATTTCACCATAAAGTAAATACAATAGGGTACTTGCTAAATACATAATGTTTTGTCATTATGGTGTGGAATATGATAAATAGCTCAAAAAGAGCTAGTAAAACATCATGTCTCTACCCTAATTATAAACTAGTCAAATTATCAGAAATATTCTTACAAATATTCAAATGTAATGTATATAAGAATACTTAAAACTGATCAAAAATAAGTCATAAAAGTCAAGAGAGTGACAATTGTTACATAAGTCAATACTGGGTTATTTATTACAGAGATACTTTTTGAGACCTTGTTTAAATGTGTATCGAGAGGTAATATTTTTTAATGACACTGGCAATGAGTTCCAGAATAAGGTATTACTATAAATTTAATTACACTGTGTTGACTTTGAGTTAAACGTTTTCTTTCTACAAAAAAGTTTGCGTTTTCTACAGATCTTGTACTGTGTGAGTGCTGAATTAGGTCAAAATAATCTAGCACACATCTCGCATGATTATTATTTTTCAGATCAAAAATTAACATTCCTGTTTGTAATTTACAAAGATCATATATATTTAATATACCCATGTTTTTAAAGAGTGGTTTGGAATGATCATAAAAGTTTGACAAATTAATTAGCCTCACAACTCGTTTTTGTAGAATAAATAGTGGCTTAAGGGTTGTTTCATAAGTATGGTCCCAAACTTCTATGCAATATGACAAATTTGGTAAAATAAGTGAGTTATAAATCATTACTAGGATTGATTGAGGAACACAGTGTCTCAATCAATTTTGAAATAATACCCACAATGGGAGTTATCGTTTTAATTAATTTCTGAATCAAGAATCAAGAAGAACGCCCAAATAACTAAAAGACTCGACTTGACTCAAAGAAATAGTATTAATTTTTAAACTGTTTGTGATTTTTACTTCTCTCCTATTTGTTTTGAAAATGGAGAAACTAGTTTTATCTGCATTAATGGTAAGTTTGTTTGACTTACACCATAATATAACTTTATTAAATTCACCTTGAATGTCAGACAAATTAATATGACGAGAATTAAAGAAGCGGAACATGCTTGTATCATCCGCAAATAGTTTAAAGCTAAAGACGTCAGTAGAATTACAAATGTCGTTAATGTACAACAAAAACAGTAAAGGGCTTAAAATTGAGCCCTGGGTAACACCACATTTAATTTCAAGCTTTTCTGAAACTGTATTGTTAATTTTAACATATTGTTTCCTATTCGAC